ACTGCGGCTAAAGACTTTTTAGTCAAAGTAAACAAAATCTGAGACATTTGAAACATTGACCAATCATGGGCAACGACAAAAATGTTTTAAAATTTTTATATTTTGACTATGGTCGCAATTTAGGACACCATGGCGAACGACACTTTTGAAGAGTTGCTAAGGAAACTAGTGTGCAGTTTCTTTTGGAAATATCCAAGTGTCATTTCTGAAATATCTGGCTTATAGATATGTATAAACTCTTCAGTTTACTTTACTCTTGCATTTTAAACAAATTTACCAATTGCAAATTTTGAGAAAATAATTCAATTATCAAAAATTTGTAATGACAAAGCTGTAAATATAAATTTAAAAATGAAATTTAATTCAAATTATATAGCTTCTAATTTTTTAAAATTTAGTATTTTCAGTACTTTCAATTATACATATTTCTGAAAATTCAAAAACATAAAGAAAATAATAACGAAGTTTAGAAATATTTTTAATATTTTGGAAAAAAATCATATTATTGCATTAAAATTCATGAAAAAATTAATTAGTTTTTTTTAAATAATACAAAAACTCTTTTAAGCTTTTTTACCATTTAGAAAATTATGGAGAACGGAAAAAATATTAAAAATTTGTAAATTTATATATTTTAAATATATGATTAAAATCTAGGGAACCATATGGCTATAATGACAAAAATATTTGAAACCCTGAAAATTTATATAATTTAACTAAAATAATACTAAAATTTACTTCATTTTCCCTTTCTTTTTTCTACATCAAAAAAAATTCTAGATTTTTGTATAGTGAATTTTTTTTTCATCTTCCTGGTGAGAATTATTCGCCACATAACATATTTGCGAGCATATTTGTCCCTTGTGTTAATGAATTTATATACATATATATATGTACACAGGAAAGAGTGCAAGAGCTTATCGCGAAATGCATCGCTTTTGAAAGGACTGACAGATAATCTTGAGACCGTTAGTTTCGTGATGCAAAAACGCTTCTGAAGGGAAGCCGTGAAATTAATCTGAAGTATGCAAAAAGCGAGGAATATCATACCAGCGCTGAATTTAATGATCTTTTAAAGTGAAATGAGAGATAAAATAATTTTCTCTGCGAAAGATAATCAATTAACACGATTGTCGCTCTGGTATTAAGTATAAGGATGCATATTTGTTTTTTTTAATGGCTAGTAAATTCCCAGTCTTTGCAAAAATTATTACTTGGAATATTTTTGAAATTTTAAATTTCAAAAATTTTTTTAAACCTCTTAAATAATAGATTAGATTAGATTAGATTAGATTTATTCTTCATTGTACACTTTTTTCAAGTTTTACAATATATCACACACCCCTTTCAAAATTTATAATTGTCATGTTGAATTTCCCTATATTAAAATTATCCATTTGAACATTCAAACAAAACATCATATCCAATATAGTTCTTGATATAAAAAGTTTAGTAATAAAGCCCTTAATTCTAATACACAGAAAGTTGTGTAAGCAATCGAAAGAAACAAAAAAGTTAAACAAGCAGTAATTGTTAAATAAAATGAAATTAGATTAAATAAACTATTAACACTTTAGCACCACTGTCTTTCATATATCTTCCTTTCAAACTCCTTCGCGTAAGCACATACGATTGGATTCGGTAATTTAGTCAAACTGTCGAGTAAAAAGTTGTCCAGATTTTGTCCTTCTCGTTCTCCAATCCACTCCTTCACTCCCAGGATCAAATTGTTGCTTATAATTCCATTTACTTCACCACATACGAAAATATGCCCCAAATCTTCAAGTTCTTTTTTGCACATTCTGCACTTCTCATCTTTATATCCCTTTTTGCCCGCTTTTCCCAAATTTCCACATCTTAATCTCGCCCATTCTTCTTTCGTCCCTTCATCTATATTTTCCTTGTCCCAGTATTCTTCTCGCCCTATTTGCTTCTTTATTTCTTTGTAGTACTTACAATAGCTGGATTTATCAATTCTTCCCCAATCCCCTTGCAGTTCTCGATCAATTTTCTTCTTGACCAGTGTTGTTAAGTTATTGCTAATTATTTCCGATTCTTCCTCGTACCAAATCATCGAAATAGTTTCTCCATCTCCTACGTCGCTAAAGGCCTTTTTAAGCATTTTTCCCCAATTCGTAAGATTGTTATTTATCAAACCCCTTATTTCTTCTCTGAGGCAAATTTTTGGCCATCTGTGACTGTCCATTCTCAAGATTTCTAAAAGATATTTTCCAGCTCTCATAACTGTTTCTGTTTCCAAACTGTGCCTTCCCGATTCCATTCTCCATATGTAGTCTGGTGTCGTTCTAGCTAAACCCATTGCCATTTTGACAAACTTTCCCTGCATTCTTTCCACATCTTCACTTCTTGCCCAGCCCCAAATTTCTACCCCGTACAAACCTCCAGCTTTCACTAGTGTATCCATTAAATACAATCTTTTCTTCATTTTGTTCAGTCCTGCTCGCTTCATAACTCCCCAAGCTGCATTTGTTGCTCTTTGAGCTTTTCCAACTATTTTCCTTAAATGTTTCTTGTATGTTCCTCCCGTCGAAAACCAAAATCCCAGGTATTTATAACTGTCAACAATTCCTAGCAATTCGTTATTAACTTCAAAATTTTCGTTTTTCATTCTCCCCCCTTTTCTAAATATCATAACTTTCGATTTAGCAACATTAATTTCCATTTTGTTTTTTATTATATACTTGTTTGTAGTTTTTATTAAGTCCCTTAATCCCTCAGGTGTATCTGACACTAATGCCAGATCGTCAGCAAATTTTAATCCAAAAATTTTTTGCCCTCCTATGACTGTTCCCCCTTCATTTCTTCTTTCCCAATCCAAATCCATGTCTTCTATAAAAACATTGAATAGCGTAGGGCTTAACGGACATCCCTGTCTCACTCCTCTAGATGTTCTAAAGCACTCTGTGATTCCTTGCCCTGTTATTATCTCATTTAGTGTATCTCTATATATTTCCTTTATCATGTTTAAGATTCTACCTCTGATTCCTATCTCTTCTAGTTTTTTCACAAGAATCTCCCTGTCCACCGTATCGAATGCTTTCTTCAAGTCTATAAATGCCGTATATAATTTTCCTTTTTCCTGTTTTAAATTTTTGTTGATTAATGCATTCATAACCGAAATGTGATCTCTTGCTGATCTGCCTGTTCTAAACCCGGCTTGACTTTCTTTAAAGAACTTATTTTTCTCTAACCAATTCTTTATTCTGCCATTCAATAGTGAAGTAAGAATTTTATATCCTACATCGAGTAAAGATACTCCCCTGTAATTCCCGGTATCGTTCTCCTCTCCTCCTTTGTGTATCGGGTATATTCTTGCTTTGTTCCAATTCTTGACAAGTTTTCCCTCTTTCCATAAACAATTCATAGTCTTGAGAATTTCCGACCCCCAGATTTGCGGTAATTCTTGAATAAACTCGATCGTAATTCCGTCTTCACCCGCTGCTTTTCTCCTTCTCAAGCTTTTGACCACTTTTATCAGTTCATCCATCGTGATATCGCCATTTAAGTCATCATTATCCTCATTCTCTTCTGGCGTTGTGCTTCTCCTTTCGCTTTCGGTATCCTGTGTTTTGTCTTCTATCGCGGTCCCCTCTTTATTCGTCCCCACTGATTCCATATTTAGTTGATCTTTTTCCTCCATTTCTTCACCCTCCAACAAATTCATAAAGTGTTTCTTCCATTTTTGTAAGTCAATAGATTTCCCTTTGGTCTTTCTTTTTGTTCTAAAATTTCCTATCGCTTTCCAGAATGATTTCATGTCTTTACTTTCTCTCACTTCTTTCCATTTCTCTTCTCTTTCTTCTTTTCTCTTTCTTTTAATCATTTCCTTGAGTTTTCCTTTTTCAATTTTTAATTCATCCTTGTCCTCTTCTTGTTTTGATTTCATGTATTTTTTAAGCTTAACCCAGATGTTCTTCTTTTGATCCTTCACTTCTTGATCTTCTTTAATCTCCTTTACTCTACTATTTATACAATTCCCTGCTATTTTCTGTGTTTTTTTCATTCCGGTTTTCTCTGCCGCTTTTTTGATGCAATTGATAATCCTTTCCCATCTGATTTCACCCTTTTCTTCGTCTGAAATTTTCTCAGTTTCCCAAAGTTCCTTCATTGCCGTTCTATACTCTTCGCCATTTTTTTCATTCCATTCAAATCGATCCCTTTTTTCTATTTTCACAATTTTCCTCTTAATTTTTTCTTTTTTTCCCTTTGCTTTCATCTGAAATGTCACTGGGAGGTGGTCGGATTCCGTCCTTGTTATTATCTCCATTTTGTTGAAAATGCTGTCTCCTTCTTCTTGCAATTCAATTAAATAATCCAAAACAGAGCCCCCGTTTTCACCAACGTGTGTCCATTTACCTTCCATGTCCCCTTTTAATCTTCCGTTTAATATGTTCATTCCTAGTTCGTCGCAAAATTTTGTTAGTTTGATTCCTTCCGAGTTAAGATTTTTATCCTCCGATGTCCTTGTTTTACAGTAATTCCTAGGTAGATCATCTTCATCACAGTCGTGTTCTCCTTGATATTCCCCCACCCTTGCGTTCCAGTCCCCCATCATTATTACACCCTCTCCCTTAGCCTGAAAACTTTCAATTATTTCTCTGAGTTCATTGCACGTTTTAGTTACAGTTACATTGTTATAAATTGTTACAACATTCGTTTTTCTTCTTACTTCCCCTATCACATCCGAGCTTAAAATTAAACCATATTCCCACTCTTTCACTGTAACTTTCAGATTACTAGTTTTTTTAATCCCCACTAACTGGCCACCTTTTGCTCTTCCTTTTTTGTTGACTCTTATCGCTGCTTTAGTTTCCCAATTATAATTCTTATCCAGTTTGTCTAGAAAAAAAGTTTCCTTATCTTTTTCAATCCATGTCTCTAAAATCACAATAATTTCAAATTTCGATAAAAAATCCCACACTTTTTCTATCTTCTTACCGCCTGCTAGATTCCATACTACCCCGTTGATCGATCTTATCTCACATCCTTCGAAAAAATTGCAACTCCTTTGGGCCGTTTTCTTCATTCCACACAAATTCTTTTTCCCCAATGATCCATCTCATATATTTTAGGCTAGCTTGCTCTCCTCTGTCATTGCCATTTTTTACTTGCTCTTCGATCCAGGATTGCACTTCTTTTTCTCTGTTTGTAATGTCATCTTCAATTCTGATCGCCGTGCCTCTCAGTTTAAATTTGTTTTGCATTAGCTTTCTTTTTGTAAACCACGAATCTAATTTGATCAGTGCCCCTCCTGCTATTTGTGTCATATTTCGTATCTCAATTTTCACTCCCGTGTATTCATGAAGCGTTTCCACAATTTCTCTTCTGAGATCTTTTCCTCTTGATCTGAAACCTCTCACTACTATTGAGTTTTTCCTTTTTTGCCTTTCATCCATTTCCCATTTAATTTCGTTTTTAGTTAACAGTTCCGGTTGTCTGGTCATTGATTGGTCATCTATTCTTCCGTTTTCCTCTTGAGTATGGATGCTACTAATTTCTTCGTTCTGTTCGTCCAGTCTATCCAGCGACCTATTTTTATCCTGTAGTTCCCGATTTTTGTTGTAGTGATCTAAATTAAATTCTTCACGTCCCCTTTTTGAATCTTGTATTTTCTTTTCTAGATCAGAGATTTTTTCTGTAAGTTGTTTTAACTCAATCGCACAACCAATTTCTCTTTCTCTCGCTCTGGATGCTGCCGTGAGTGCTGCTACATTTCGTAATTCTCTTTCTTCTTCGTTGTCTTTTGCGACCTGTAGATTTTTAATGTTGTCACTCATTTCAATTAGTTTCGGTTGCATTTTGTTTACCCATAACTCGTCAATTATTTTCCTAAATTTTTCTTCACATCTACACTCTTTTTGTTGAATCACTTTTTCGATTTTTTCTGTATCGTCCGTCATTTGTGTTCCTGTTGTTTCCTCAATCTTTCTGTCTAGAGTTGTTTTTTCTATTTTCTCATTTCCCTCCTTCTTCTCCGTGTTTTTTAGTAACGGCACATTATCCTGAATCTTCTCAGCCCCTTTAATATCACCATTATTATTTCTTTCTTTTAGTGGCGAGTGTGTCACTTTATTAGTTTTCTTTTGACCTTCAGCTCCTAAATTCTTCCCATTTGAATCATCTGAATTTCCCCCCAGAAATTTTAACATTCTTTGCGCACTTTTCTTATTTTTTTCCTTTTCCTTTTCCTCTTTTTTTGGCCTTCCCACTTTTCTCTTTGGAGTCTCCACAATTTGTTTATTATTTTCTGTTATTGTTTTCATTTGACAGCTGTTCCATATCGCTTACTTGACATAGTGATGCCATCTGTAGTACATTATTTTCACTCACATTGGAATTATCACGTCGAATTGAACACCTATATATTAGATGAGTTGCACCTAACCTCAAATTTACGCGTCACTCTTATTTTATCAAATTTTCTCACAGTAAATCCACTCCCCTATTCTGTATTACACTCTAACTACTTCTGAATATTTCCCTAAACAATACACTCCACTTTTTTATCGCGTCTAGGCTTTTAATCTAGATAATAAAACTATTTTCGCAGCTCGAATTTCATACAACTCACACGCATTCCGCCATTTTTTCTCATCTCTTAAATAATAATTTTTAATATTAATTGCCAGAGCGAGCCATGGCCGATGGCAAAAATATTTTAAACCCCCAAAATTTTCAGGTTTTCAAATATTTTTGTCGTTAGATATATGGTTCCCTAGATTTTAATCATGTTTAAAATATATAAATTTAACAAATTTTTAAATATTTTTTCCGTTCGTTATAATTTTTCTAAATTGTGATCATAAAAATTAAGTTTGGATTTATATTTATAAAAAATAGGTTTGGATTTTAATTTTTAGGTTAAAAGTCGTTGGGATAAATTTATTATATTTGATGGAGAAAGATAATTCTATTCGCGAGAATGAAACGATTTAGGAGAACGGTTCGGAGAAAAATAGCAATGAAAACGATGTTGTAGGGGTCACCTGTTGAACATTCCGGCCTATAACCGAGACGAGAAAGTATATATAGAGAGAGGAGAGAGAGAGAGAGAGGAAGGAAAAAAAAAGGGGGGTAGAAGAACTTGGACTGTCGACCACCTTCGAATCTCCGTTCTCCATTTCGTCGTCATCGTCATCGTCCTTTAGTTTCGTATATAAACACGTGAATGAAAATGCAAGAAGACGAAGAAGTAGGGAGAGAAACCGGACACGTACGGGCCACGTGCCACGGCACGCGTTCTCGCTTATACACTTCTCTCTTTCCATCTTACCTGTTATTTAAAAACAAAAAAAAAAGAGAAAAGAGAAAGAATTCCTCTCCTTTAATTAAAATTCATCATTTCTGGAAAAATCGTTTATTCTAATAAATTAACTTTTGATGAAAATAAAGTTTGGGAAATTATAAATATTTACAAACATTCGAGTCAAGTCAATGAAGGGAAAGTTTTTTTTTTATTAATATTGAGGTTGAATTTTAAATTCTTCACCTGCTCTGCTCTCCTCTGTTCTGCCCACTTCGATGAAATTAATAGGGGGACTAACAGTAAATCTTTTGTCTAGACTTATTTTGTTAGGAATTATAGTTTTTGGAATTACAGGCAGGAAAAACAGCTTATTTTGAGTTTTTTTTTTATCAAAATGAGTTAATAGCGAGCGCAAACTAAAATTGTTCAAAATAAACCTGTTTTATATCAATAACGGTCAAGTTAGGTTATAGAAAATAAAAATAGGTCAAAATGTGGTCTAAATTCTAATTTAACTTAACTGCCCTTAAGGGACTCGTAATGTAAAGGCCCCTACGAGGCCTTTTTTGGCCTCGTGAAAAAATAGGTCAAAATTGGCCTAAACGTATTAGGTCAGTTATGTAGAAGTTGCAGTAGCAAATTTTATAAATTTTTTATTTAATTTTAAATTTAATTTTAAATTTAATTTTAAATTTAATTTTAAATTTAATTTTAAATTTAATTTTAAATTTAATCTTGTCAGTTTCGAAATAAAAGGTAGAAAGACTTTTCTTTATTCCTGATAACTTTTATGGTTCGTGAGAACAATTTTTTTTACCTTCTTTTATAGGATAACGTGTAATGCAATAAACCGCAACTATATTCATTCTTATTTAATAAACTAGCGGATCAATATTCAAAACGATAACACTTCTTCTGCTCCTCAATTTTTAGCTTCATACAAAAAAGGTAAAAGGAGCGAGAGAATATTTTTCCCTTCTCGCGAAACGAGAATGTTTCGAAAAGCCATTTCCTCCCCGAGAGTGTCGCAACACTCTCGCGGGTTTTTTGATCGGGACCAATGGATAGGCATAAACTTATGGTATACCGCAACCATACCAGGATTTTCTCTATCGAAACTATATCTTTTAAGACACTCTCTACATTGGGATTTAGTTTGCAAATGTTTTTCCCATTTACATTTATATATGTGTAACGGAATTTTCAAAATAAAAAATTCATTTCAAATATTGAGGGAAAAAAAATCAAGATAGGTGTGAAATAATGATCTAGAGTTCGATACTTTTTTTTTAATAATGGGAAAAATGTTTCAAAATCCACAAAATTTTTATATTTTGACTATATGGTAAATGATTAGCGAACTATGGGCAATGAAAAAAATATTTAAAAACCTGAAATTTATACAATTTTACTGTGGCAAAGATCAAATACAAAAGTTGAAGTGATTTTTTCATATTATAAATAAAAACAATGAGCGCGTATTGTGATCGAAACGCCGCCTACTTTTTGAGAGAAGAGGGAACTAAAATCGTTCAAAAGACGCGTCACCCCCACCATACTGGAGTCTTGAGACTGTACTCAACTGTCAAAGGATTTCAGTTACATCTAATTTTATTTTTAGTTTACCAAAATTCATTTGATATTAATTTAATTTTTTTCAGCAATAGTATAATAAGGATACCTTGTAAGCTTATAACTCATCAATGCAAGTGTAGATTTTTGAAAATAAACTTTTCAAGAATTGCTAAGGAAACTAGTGTGTAGTTTCTTTTTGGAAATATCCAATTTCATTTCTGAAATATCTGGCTTATGATATGCAGGGTTGCTACGCAACTGGAAAACCTGGAAATGTCGGGGAATTTTATAAAACTTGAAAAAACCTGGAAAAATCAGGTAATTTGGATCGGAATACTGGAAAATGGTTATTTTCTAAATTGTGTTTATTCTTGAAATCTAATTTCACTTAAATATTTCAAACTTAATTCAAATTTAAAACAATTGCCTTTATAATTTTTATAAGTAGTTATGAACTTTAAGAGATTTTGATTTAAAATTTTGTAAAATTTCAATTTGAAATGAATTTAATTAGAAATATAAAAAACTTAGATTTAAAAAAAAATTTTTAAACTAAAATTCTTTTGAAATTAGTTGAATTTTTTATAATATATTTAATTTATTATTAAAAATAATGAATTAACAGAAGATTTTTATTAATAACACTAAAACAAATTGAATTTTGAAGCAATTACAAATAATTGCAGAAATTTAATTATTTTCAAAAATATAGTAAAATTCTTCTCAGAAATTCAATTATTTTCAAAAGTAATAAAATTCTTCTCAGAAATTAAATTATGTTCAAAAATTATTAAAAATTCTCGTCAAAATTTGAATTATCTTTTCAAATAATAAAATTCTTCTTGAAAATTAAATTATTTTAAAAAATTTTATTAAAATTCTCTGCAAAATTTCAATTATTTTAAATACCATTTTAATCAAATTCCGTTAAAAAATGTAATTGTTTTTAAAAATGTTAAATAAAATTCGTCGAATGAATTCAAATACTCATTATTTTTCATTTATTTAAAAATTTGTTGATAAAATTCTTTATGAAAATTCAATTTTAAGAAATATTCAATTGTTTAATAAAATATTTATTTTTATAGTGAAATAATTGAATTCTCGTATAGAATTTTCTAATAAATTTTAATTTAAAAATGAATTTCAGAATTAAAATCTTTGAAAACTTGAACTTTTCATACTATTAATTAAGAATTCTATAGAATTATTTTTTCTCAATATGTTTAATGGAATTTTTTTTAAACATTTAAAGTTTTTAATTTCTAATGTATATTTAATTGAAGTATGTCAGAATAATCGTAATTTCGTGAAATTAAATTGTAAACAAAAGAATTTGAAAATTCACAAAGAACTTTTTCAATATAAGTATTAAAAAAAATTGATTTAAAGAAGAATTTTAGTTGAAAAATGAATTGGGAGAATTGATAAATAGAATTCCGATGGTCAAGAAAAGAGGGAACAACAATTAGCTTATCGGAGGGGAAATTAATGGATTAATTGTCAATCGGGGAATTCGGAGAATTAACAAATAGAATTCCGATGGAAGAGAAGAATAAGGATCTTCAAAAGAGGGAAGAAAAATTATATTTATTAATTCTCCTGACAACCCCAAACTGGGGTCAAGTGACCCCAGTCAATTGGGGTATCAGGAGAATTAATAAATAGAAAAAATAGAATTCTGATGGTCTAGGGGAAGTAAATAGAGATGGGGGTCAGAGTAATTAGAGTGGGGGGGGGGGTAATTGGAGTAATCCTCATCTCTATTGAAAAAATAGGGAAAATCTATTTTAAAAATTAGGGATGTGAGAACAATTTAGATTCGAGGAGAAATTAACGGATTCGTGGTCAATCGGAGAAATAGGGAGAATTAATAAATAGAATTCCAATAGCGATGAAGGAGGGAATAAAGTACTAAAGGAAACTTGGAGAGGTCGGAATGGAGAGCCACTGAGATGGGTCCCGAATCCTACGCCAATGTCCTCGGTCAGGCCCCTTCTACGGTAACGCAAAGGGGGGCACCAGCAGCGACAGCTGCTCGACCTCCCCTCCCGCACCACCTCACCCCCTTTATGTTTCTCTTTCGCCACCCTTCATGGCCCCCACGTACATACATACGTATACAGGCATCTCTCCTCTGCCCTTCTCGGTCGCGCCACTTCCCCCACCCCCCTCTCTCTCTCTTCTCATGAGCGCCAAAACCCCCCACCACTGTTTTAGGTCGCGTGGCAGACAGGCTTCTCCACAAAATACACCTTCGCGTTCCGTTTTACTACCGTACGGTGCAACGGACCATCTCTCCTTTTTTTTCTCCCCTTTTTCTCGTCTACCTTGCTTCCCTTTCTCTCACTCACTCACTCTCTCGTGCTGTCCGTTTGGGTCGGGTACACACTCAGCAAAGTAGCAAAGGCCGACCGCTTGTAATCGTTGGCTGGAATCGAAAGTCACGGAAATGATCGTTTCTTCTTTTTGAGACCTATACTATCATCTTCCTTGTAAATTCCGTCCTGTTTCTTTTTACCTGCGAAAGCGTTGTGTCATTTAGGATGCGGTTTTGTACGCGCCAGGCACGTGCCACTTTTTTTAATTTTTTTTTTTTTTTTGCTAATTGTCTAAAACTTTTTTTTTTTTAATGTAGGGCTTGGATAGTGTAGGACTTTTGCAACTATTTTCAAGGGTTGAGACTTTTTTCTGTTATTGCTTCGATGAAATAAGCGATTTTCGACTTTTCTTCAAGGTGTCTTGAT